TTTAAAAACACAGTCATTTTTTTGCCTCTGTTGATTGACAAACCATCAATAAAATTGGCTGATACTTGCGTCCGACATTTACTAAGGATAAAATAAGATGTATGCAAACTCTCAGAGCAATTGGTTAAATACCATTGCAGTGAGAGCTTCATGCATTTTACCTATTTTGAAGCGATTTCCTTGGTGAAAACCAAGAAAAGCCGGAGGTTGGTCTATCTCCTCCCGGAAAAAACCAAAACAGAAACCAGTTTGTCTTTTTTAGTTTTGGGTAGACCCTTTAAACTGGCAAAGTCTCACTCAAATCGGTGAGATGGCATGTCGCACGACTGCCTGGTGCTCTCGTGGAGCTGGTTAGAAATAGTACCAGCGTTAATGGATTAATAATGATCCTTAATTTACTCTCCCACCGACGCAGCACCACAATTTCTTTAGAAGCTTACCCCCTTTATTCAGAAGATTAATGTGGTTCCTGAGAAAATACTTAATAGATTAAAAAGTCACAAACATACAGAAGAATTTTACATATAATCATCCCACCACATAAATCTGCCACTGCTAAAGGCACGATGAATGTATTCGTTTTGGTACGAAACTGTCGTTTACTGCGGATAAGGAAGGCAATAAATCCATTTCCAACTATCGTGAGGATACAAAGGAACCAGCCGAGAACCCAAAACCACGTTTCCATTGAACTTCGCGCAGTTGCCTTCTTTGTTAGAGAGAAAGGAGAGTTTTCAACACTCTTAAAAAAGGAAATTGTACAAATATTGCAATTGAGGTTTGATAGAACATTCTGGCTCCATGTTTGCGCAAAGCCAATTAGGTTAATAAACGTGGTTATGTTAAGCTACGTTTAAGGCTGCAAACATCTTTCACTCAAAAATGTTTTCTTTCAGACGGTTTCACACGCGGAGTCTAATGCCTGTTTATTGCTCTTTAAGAAGCATGGACAAAAATTTTCTTTTTTATATTTTTATTACTATTATCATCTATAGTAATGTTTTCTTTTTTTTGTCTACTTCTCGAAAGAAAATTACAACAAATTAAAAAGTGCTATTTTATAGATATCAAGTTTCGTATGTTCAAACAATTCAATGACTGATGAAAATCAGTTATGATGAAATGGTTATGATGAATTTTTTGCAGGACGTCGTGTCGTCAAATTCGTTCTGTAACCATAATTGGTGAAGAGAGTCAAAGGTCAGCTATGGCCAAAATTAAGAAAAGTACGAATTTGGTTTCAATTTGACGAAGGTAGTTAAATAGAAGTAGAACGCCGTGGTGATATTTAATAAGAGCAATAGTATGTAGCTTTCGAACTTTTTCAAAAAATCGCGGCTAGTTAACCTTACCGATTTGGTTTAAATTTGGCATGAAGGATGATTTTAGGGTCCTAACCACGAAGTGGGTATTAAAAAGTTGCAATTGTTTTTTGCTTGGCAAAATATATATAAAGCCGGCCTAGTCTGCCCATACTTGCCCGCCAACATGGCGTATCGAAGGTGTTCTTATGACTTCAACTCAAGTCCTGTCGCAAAGATTTTTAACATCTATTTAAATGAATAAAAAGATCTACCCTTTTTCTTACATTTATTGGAAAAATGAGGGAAATGACATATTTTGATGACAAGTTATCTAAACGTTCGAAGGACGTTTTGCCGTCTTGAGGAGTCAAAAATTTACCTTAACTTGTTAGCCTGATATCTCCAATGCTACCCCGATCCATTTACTTCGAACAATGTTTGTTCGTGGACGAGTTGATCCCATTAATATAAAATGGGGGAAATTTAAAGGTCAAAGGAGAAAAGTTATCAATCTGTGATGACTAAGCTATATCTGGGACCAGCTTCTAAATCAGCTTACTGGTCAGAAATAAAGGTCTAATACTCATTTCGTCAGAATAAAAGCAATTCCAGACGTTTTCCTAACATTATGGAAGTGTCTGTTAATTTTGGGCAGAAGCAAACATCTCTGAGCGACATTGTCACCGTGAGATAAATATTTGGTTCCCTATTGAATGTAAACAATCGATCCGCCATTAACGCTTGGAGGGATTGATTTTGCTCACCGTTTTGAGAACGTGAAATATCAAGAGAGACTCTTTTGAATTCCAACCTACTGCTTTTAATGGAGATTGGTGACTTTCTCCACCTCGATGCCCTTAAGCTTCATTTGCAACTGATCCTACTTGCCATGCCAACGGTTTAAATGTTAAGTAAATTTCATCATGTTTTTGAGTGGTTCTTAATTTCGTTTTACGTATGTTTTAATATTCTTATCACTATAAATAAAACTCAACCTTTCGGGGTGCTTCCTTGCAAATTGTTCTTTTTCACAAAGGGTGAGCGCAAAATGCGTATATGAGGCGCTCTCTCTAGCGCCATTGACATGAATTTTGAGTGTTGTTTAAAATAATCATTACCTCGTTGGAATGCGCACGCAATCGCTAATTGAGTATAAACTAGGATCTATAAGATTTATTCTGCTTTGAAAGCTTGTCCAGGAAGGATGCTTTTTAATCTTCTTTCGATGGCTCTAAACAAGCTTTACACCTAATCTATATAAAAAAGGAAACAATAAAATCGTCATTCATCACTGAAATGTGTCGACAAATTGAACTCATGTTTCTCCTGAAAACGCAGAAGCAAACGAAAAAACAGAACTAAAAAAGGGGAAAATGAAGTCTGTTTTGCAAGCTGCAACTGCGAAGGAGACTACATCCTAGTTCGATTTACAATAACGAGGAAGGCCCACGAGTAATATGGTGAAATCTCAAAACATTTACTGTTTTGCACCACCCTCTCGGTGAAGGATAAGTTTGGTTTCTCAGTCTTCTTAGTTCACAAACTCAGAAGTTATCTGACTAAAGAGACGCATCTCTATCAACTCAACTCTTTCAAATGTGTGCTGCACCGTGCGGAAAAAAGACGTTTTTTCGCAAACTGGAAGTTTTTCGTTCTCATAATACCGAAGGGCCATGTTTTATATAAACATTGATAAATATGCAGGACAATCGAAGTGGATCGGTTGTTTCAGGAGCTGCTGCACTAGCAACGCGATACCAGATTTAGCTTTACCAACTGAATATTACACGTTTTAAAAACACTGTGAAATCATCTGCACCTTATCAGTAGCAAATTTCTCTTTATTAAAATTTCTGTGACTATAGGAAACCTGTTTAAAATTAAAAGCCTTTTTTAGCCCTCCATTAACGTTAGACACAGCCAACAACACATCTGGGTATTCTTTTGATTTACCATTCTGTTTTGGGTTTTGCTGAATAGATATGTACGCTTCTAAAACACTTCGATTCACTGGCTTGTGTTATTTTTTGTATCTCGCGTGAGACAACTTAGTCCTAACAGGCTAAAAGCACGCTTCTGTTTGCACGCAACAGGCCAAAATAGATCCGTCTAAATGCAGTTGCCCGATGATCGGGCAACCAATACAGCTGTAAATAGAATATGGGAAAAATGGCAGGTTACTTGTGTCTATTAATTTTTGCCACGCGACGAGAGTATTGTGTGAATATTTTAGACTAACATAAGGGGGTTATATATTAGAGTCACGATATTCTCATAAAATCACATGGTGCAAATATCTAATAAGTTTCACACACATACTTTGCCTCACCAAGAAACAGTTCAACTTCAATAAAATTTACGAAGGAAGCGATTTAGACCATACTTCTATACATCTTTTGCCGTTGTTGATATAAATATTGAAATCTTCTCTGCTCCTGAATTTTGATCGGAATTGAGGATATGGTCTCGAACCTTGGTCATAAGCCATGGACCTTTTTAGCAGTATGTATGAAACTTGTTTTGCACTCTTCGTGGCAAGTTTTGAGATATTTGTTTGGGTGTTTGCAGTAAAATAATTACGCTTCTTGAAAATGAAATACTTAAAGGCTATCTCATGTCAATTTCGCTCTCAAGTGAAATAAAGCTTGGGAAATGTCTTGGTCACCGATTAGAAATGTGAATTGCGCCGAATATCTTGAGGGTCCCGCTGAAAACTGCCCAAGCGAGTTGGGTTCCCTCGTTAAGTAATACTTTTAGAGAGTCTAAATGACGTTGATCGTTAGCCGTAAAACGGCCAAAACTTTGACTGTTAGTCACAAAAAAGTTAACCGTATAAATATTTGTGGTGACAACAATGGAATGATTATAACCATTAGCCGCAAAATGGCCAAAATTTTAACCGTTAGCCGTAAAAAGCCATCACCTCATTGAGACTCTTATCCATTTAGCTGTTCGAAGGCCGATAAGCGCCAACATAAGGTTAAACTTTAATCCAGGTTTCGTAGTTCCATTTTTTCAAAAGCTTTTTTTAGACAATTTTTCGTATAATTCTCTATTCTTTTAAGAGCATCCAATTATCTAATTGCAGAAAATTACACCGAGTTTTTCCTTAAAGCGTACAGATCCGAAATCAGATTTCACATTTATCTTGGGTTATCTCAACCCAGATTTCATAAACACTGCCCAAGTGTTAACAAATGAAGGAAACTCATGTTATCTGAGTTACGTGTGCGAAACGACTTTCTAGTCCTTGTCTTCAGATGATATCAGGGACCTTATGCAGTCAAGACGAGAAAAACCTCGCTTAAGGTTCGAAGATCGAGTAAGGCTGCTTTTGTTTATCGTCTCTAACGGCGCCACATCTCAGCTTTAGTAATACGTATGTTAGCAACGTTGAGTTCCAAATGGAAACGTTTAAAATCTGCAGTCAGGGATTCTGTTCTCGGACTACACAAATTTTGGCGATTTCACGTCGTCGTTTGGCAGAGTACGGTTAAGAAATGTACAAAACGCTCGTGCTGAGCTATTTTTCTGCCCATTAAATATTTTGTTTTGCCACGTCCTTGTTGCTGTCGCCAGGTCCCTTATATCAAAGTGCTCGTCAGTAAGTTACCTTAGACGTTACCAATCTGCGTTCAACAAATACTTAAATCAACATCAATAAAAAATAAAATCCGGAACTAACAGCTTTTTACGTCAGTTACTAAAATGTGCTTTTATTGTGAAACTCAGTAAACCGTGCACAAATATATTAACACGTCAATTGTTTTCTTGACCAATCACAATAAAGTTCAGCAATCACTTGCAAACGGGTGTATAAAATAACTAAGACACTTTAAATATCGAGAGAACACTGCCGGAAAAGTATTTAAATCTCGAGCTAGAAGAGGTTTCCTTGAGACACAAAACTTCCATGCATAATTCTGGCGTTCGCAGTTTTCGGAGTTTCAAGACAAGGTTACATCCTAAGATTGTTATTTAAATTCGTTATTGTTCCTATGGTGTTATTCGTTGAAATCTAGAGTTTCTTTCAGGTTTCCACTGCATCAGTTTGGCATAATTCTTCAACAACTTTTTCCAGTAACACTTCACATCTTTCATTCGTAAATGATCTTTTATAAATTGATATCCCCTGAGAAAGAAAAAATACCTCCTGAGATTCGGAAACTGGAAACAAAACAACAGTAAAATCGAGATACTTTTATGTGATTCAGAGCACTTTTCGATTGAGTGTCGTAAAACTAAACCAAAGCAATCACAATGGCCAATCAAAAGAAGGAAGAGACCCTTAGAAACCAATGAGAATCAACTCTAAAGCGCGGGAAAATGCGGGCGACCAAGTCGTGATTCGTTTTAGTTTTGCAGCTGATTGATTGAGATAGAGGTGCGAGTTTTTCTGGACCAATCACAGAACAAGTAAAGCAAAACCAATGCAATCCCGGATTACATTCAACACTCAATTGAAAATTGCTTTATTAAATGTCCTCTCTTGCTTAGCAAGGCTTCAAAACAAAAGGATAAACTAACTGGAAGAGAGCATAAAGCCCGGAGTACTGACAATTCTTGCATACCTTACTAAATAAGTAAAAATAAAAAACATTGCTACTGTGATAAAATCACCTTTCAGCCATTCCTTTTGCAACTTCATCATTTTCTTTGGCGAATTCTATAAGGTCCCTTAAAACAAGAAGAAACAAAATGTTAAGCTTTCTTTCACCTCCTTGACGGTGATTAGTATCCGAGTAAAAAGTTAGAAAATTGATGATATACGATTATTTCGTGTGAAATGTTTCGTGATGAAAGATGGCCTGCGTTTCTCTTGCAGTGGACAACAGTTTCTCGCTTAGGATAAGGCAGAAACTCGTTCCCGCGGCCAATTTACATATCAACTCGGTTGATAAAACCATTTTCTAAGATAGGACAAGCCTTTTCTTACTATAACGAGTGATCTCTAACTCATTAAAAAAACCCAATTGTGACAAAAACCCTTTACTTCGTAAAAAACGGAGACAACATTTCAGACGAAATATGTTCTTAATCTTGATGAATTTGGTTGAGGGGTATGCATATAGTGCTTCTAAAGTTATGATTAACAATAAGAAGTGCAAACTCGGGCGCACCGCGCCGGAAAACTATGCGCACGAGTAGAAGTCAGAAACTAAAATAAGTCCTGGAAAGTGATAGAAAAGCTGAGACTAATACTCACCTGGCATTGTTAAGATCTGTTTGAACTGGTATGTAGTGTACCCAGGGCCTCAGTGCTCGGTAGAAGAATTCAAGCCATGCGTCTCCTACGTGAAAAACTAAAGACTTGCAAAGGAAGAGATGCTTATATCTAAAACTAGCTGCTACTCCACGAAAGTTGAACAAGTATCTGCAACACAAGAGAACGAAAAGTATGGTTAGCTTGCACATTAGTTTTAGCTCTTTGAGCTCGCTCCAGGACCTCTCGATCAACAACGCAGGGTATTAAACACTGGCCGATCAGGAGAAGAAAGCAACTTATCATATAACTATTGGACTTGTAACACGTCAGTTGCAAAGCCCAGGCTTGTCTTAGAAATTTAAAGCCTCATTCTGGGACGAGAAATCTGTAATAAGCATCAGGGCAAAAGAACACGGAACTACTGGCTTCCACCTGTGTCACGAAAGAGTTCGTACCGAAGCTTTCTACGGGGAACTACAGAGGCTAATATCTCGGGGAAAGATTCTCCAGAGTGGAGTCTGTAAAGCCGGGGGAAAGAACTGTCTACAATACTTTCTGATAATTAACCAGCATATTATAGTAAAGTAATTTAGATACTATTAGCGGCGTGATTGGTCAAAACCTATTGTTTATTCCATTGGTAAACCCCAAAAAAGTTTAGGTCTATTTTATAAAAGCAGTAGACCGCACTTTCGATCTGTTTATTAGCAAAATAATCATTTTGGGATGGTAGGGAAACACTCGTAAAGTTTGTACAGAACGCGCCTCGGTTCGTGATTAAAAAACTTTTCGAGTGTTCTCCCAACATCCCAGGTTAAGTGGGTTGTTACGCTGGTAAACCGATAGAAACTGCAGTTCATGCATATCTATAATTAACTCACGCGGAACGTTGGGAGAATACGTAAAAGTTTCTAAATCACTCGCCATCGCCTTGTGATTTACACACTTTTCGATTGTTCTACTAACATTCCAAGTGGGAGATTACACTGGTAAACCGATAGAAAGTGCGGCCTGTTTCATAATGAAATAGGAATGGCTTCTTCGTTTCAATAAACGATCAATTCTGACCAATCAGAGTGTGTGTAGTATTGTGGCTATTCTACATAGGATTATCTTCAAGAGTAATACGTCAATACTTGTATTCACAGTGGTCCTCGAGCTTGATCTCTTTGGCGGGTGGAGCATGTAATGTGTCCTGAGAAAAGAAAAGAGGCTTCTAAAAAAAATAGTTTGGCTAAGAATTTTTCATATACAAGGAACATTTTCTGAACTCAGGGTCCGAAATTGCTTATCTATCGTGCTTTTAACTTACAGCATCAGACTTCCAGGCCTGATTCTTAGTGTACTGTGCATCCACAAGACTTGGGTCCTCACGAGACAAAAGTACTAAAGGATCCCTCTCAGCAGAAGTCCTAAAAGAGAAATAATATGTATATCTTATTAGACGTTTTGGTGTGTAGTATCGCTGAGTATTTTATGAGTTGTGCCGTACATTGACGAGCCCGCAGGGCCTCTTTTCCTTCCAAGTCTTTCTGTTCGTTTCTCATAAAGCAGGAAAAACAAAGAGGAAAGAGAAGCGTAGCGCGCCCAGCCGACTGGTTAAACAGTTTTTTTTACAGTACAAAATAACCAACTGTCCAGATTACCGTACAATATCGCAGGATATATGTACTCTGTTCGCACGTCATTTGCACTCTACTTTGGGCAGTTGGATAATAATAAAAAGCACATGTATTTGAGACTCTTTAAAATTATCATACGTAAAGAATGATTCCAGAGCACCATCTGATTGTTTTACTTTCAAGTACAATCACCTCCATCGCTCCCCCCCCCCTCTTACTTCCATCTAGATATCAATTTTTTCACTTATGGCACTCTATCTTCATCTCCCTTCATCCCTCTGCCTACTCTTTGGCTAACCTGTCCCTCCTCCACATCCTCCCTACTTCCAACTGGTTGCCAATATTTCCTCCATAACAAACTTTCCCTCTTTCCTTTTCCCTTTTCCCATTTCCCATCCATCCATCCATTCATTCATTGATCCACTAGTTCTGCTCTCCCTCCAGCCATCTTCCCACCCTTTATCAACCACTCTCTCCCTTTCATTCTTTCTTCCTTTCATTATCTCTTAAATTTGTTGGACAGGGTAACGCAACCAACGAACTTACCTTGATCCTCTAAAAAATGCCTTTGCCTTTTTTTTCTCCCAAGGCCACTCACTGGCTTTTCTGAAAGTAGGCAATCACATTAAGTACAGCAACTGTGTCAAGGAACTTCAAAACTGAAAAAAATTAAACCTAAGGTGAAAGAACTAAGAGCCACAAGGAAGTTCAGAAGGTGGCGAAAGATTTGGAAATTATGCATGATTAAGTCCAAATTAGCAGGTGATGTTGAATTTTACAGAAAGTCAAGGTAAGATGAGATTCGAAATTTTCTCTTCTACTTTCATGAAGAGTGAAAAAGTGTTTGAAGTGCACGTGACACGTGAATTTTTTTAAACTCATGAGTAAAGTGAGATCAAGACCGACTTTTGCTACTGTAAACACATTAGGTCTACGGCAGGGTGCAAAGAAGTTCAGTGTTACAGCTTGCCCTTCGGGCAAGTGGAAAGTGTACGTGCCGAGTCACCATCAGTGAACAAATTATGCAAATAAAAATTATGCAAATTCGTGGTATACCTTGTTACAAGTAACCAAAGGTTTAAGGTTTCAAAAGGACAAAAATGTTCGTTTCATTTCTGGCAACTTTATATCCGAAAGATCTTCGTGAAAAGTGAAGACAATGCGATGTGTTCGATGTATTTTAATTAACACGCTCCTACGGTATCAGTGTTTAGAAATTACCAAATTGAAATGCACGTGACCAACATTTGCTAAAATCATAATACATTTCTCACTGAAGTTCAGGATCAAAACCTTTTGTTTACGTTCTTCACAAATGATTATGAAGCAAAATTTAGACAAATAGCTTTCTCTGAATTAGTAAGAATTAGTCCCCGGCAACATTTACCTCCAAAGTTTTTTCCGATATCTGCTTTCACTTTAAGCACGGGATCTCGCCTTACCTCATGCACGGGATTTCACTTCGTCGAAGCGACTTTCGTTCCGCATGAATTTATTAGGAATTGCTTACAGTTGTTCTGTAATTTTAATTCTCCAAAAAATCTTCATTTGCCCTTCGGAAAAATTAAGCACAGAATTCACTAGCCCGATCGCAAAATTCACTAGCCCCGTGATCTGACACGACTTTCTTTGCACGCTGAGTCTGTGGTCTTATCACGTGTGGGAACCGGTAAGCACATGGTAATCTCAGCTTGTTCATTTGCGAGTCTTTGTTTGTTCGTTTTCTGAATAAAGTATAAGTTTAGACTATACAAAGTGGCTTGGAATATCTTTACGGTTACCCTCTGTGAAGAAGAAAGAAAAGCTCTGAAGGAAATTTTGGCCCAATGTTCGAAAAATGAAAAAAAAAAAGGTACTGACAGAAGTAAAATAAAAATAAACTACAATGTAAACTAACTTGTCAATTTCAGCTCTCATTAGATCCCATCTCCCCAGTCCTGTGGGGTAAATTGGCCACACAGCTGGCCCCCCTTCCCAAAATGTCCATGCTGGGTACATGATGTCATTCTCATTGCTTGTCTGAAAAAAATAAAGATTAAAGAAAAACATAATAAAAAGACCACATTCCATAATGTGTGCTAAAATAATGCTGATGACTCCCGAACCCTTCCCCTCCACCTTATACCACAGGCCCAGTTATTTGAAGGCTGATTAGCACTAACCCACTGTTAAATTTTAATCCAGGTTTCTGTACTTCTTAATTGAAGAGCCTTTTTGACGATAATTTTCCCTATTCTTATTAGAGCATCCAATGATTAAATTGTAGACCAAAAGAATTCAACTTGAACCATCCAAAACCACCTTTCACTTGGTCTAAAATGAGTAATAATCTTCTTCTTCCCACATCAAAGGGTGTTACCCAAAAACATTGTTTCACCAAATTATCACATGGTAAACTTGACCCAGAGTTATATAACTTTTTGCAACAAAATAAAAATTGTTGGAATCACAGATCTTTTCAGGTGATGTATTTTTAATAAGTAATAATGAAGCTTATTGCAAACATCTGTTAAAAAGAGCTTTTTCCTTCCAACTCTTCAGTAAATGAGAAAACAAGGAATCAGCATCATTTGTTAAAGTGGCTTGAAGACTCTATCTTACCTTACTAAATGAGAAAACAGGCAGAGGACTGGACCACTTTGGGACCTAATCAAGTGACAATTAGGAGATAATTTTATAAAAAAATAGTTCAAAGTTGAAAGAATCAGAGCTGCATTCATGAAAAAAATTCAATATTAAAAACAGCTGAAATTAACAAGCCTTTTTTTGGCAATGACCAGCTTGAAACTTTTCCCACAAAATTGATTCAGTAAATTTTCCCACAAACAAAAGACAACTGGATGAAACACAATATATTAATTTTCAAAGAAAAATATGGCAGCTTGAAGGAGTAACTTTAATTCAGATCTTACCTGTGGATAGTCCCTGACATTAATTCTCATCTCCATGTCTGGTAAATTGTCAATAAGCTCCAGGATAAAATGCTCAACTCCTTTACATCTTAAAATAGTCAGAAATATAATCAGTTAAATGGTTCTTTCATGAAGATGATTTCAATAGTTTGGGCTCCTTTTTCTCCACTTTCAATTTTGGTTTCCACAAAAAAACTTTGTTAAAAGATCTGTGATTGCAACAATTTTTATTTGTTGTGGTCCCCCCCCCCCTT